ATATATATAAAAATCTTCCAAAATATATATAAGTAGAATTCATTAACAGATTGAAATGATATATTAAAGACTTAGTATTTTATGAAAATCCAGCACGTCCAATGCTAAAAGAATAGTTGATAGATGAGACATCATGACATTTTAAGTGGAAAAACTTATAAGTTAAAAATCATCGAGCCTGCTCAAGTTGAAATTATTTCACTGTGTTGAGAAAAATTAAAGACTTTACCGACCCTTCATTCGTCTGGGTGAGTTGCAGAATATGTGGGGAGGTAGCGGTGACTTTCTTCTAGATAATTTTTTCCCGTTGGTGCAATGATTAGCGATCTAATAATCATAATTGTCTTAGTGGTAGAATAATATATACTCGCACGAGTAAGCTTGCATCGTTTGTCTATATCATAAGGAGGTGAACTTTTTTTTCAAGCACATTCAAGCATCCTTATATACATTACTATCATTTCATTCTTCAAGACATACATTGCTTTCATGTGAGACTTGTATTTATCTACTAAAATTAATGTATCTACTATAATCTATGGTCATATGATAGTCTAATAGAGCCACTTCATTACAATTCTAAAGTTCATGTAATAATCTGACTTAAACATATAATCATGTAATAAGCTAACATATACATGTCTACTAGAATATAAGGGTCATGTAGTAATTTGATATCTTCTTAAACAAAACTATTATGCAACTATTAGAACAACAATATTTATCCTGCATATTTCATGTGTCAAGTAATAATCTGACATAAACATATGGTCATGTAATAAACTAACATGTACATCTCTACTAGAATTTAAGGGCTATGTAATAATTTTATATATTTCAAAACTAAATTATTATACAACTATTATAACAATAATAATTAGCTTGCATAATACATGACTAATGATGTAAAGAATCACATGTGATTTAATTTCATTGATATAAGACATAATAGTGTTTCATGTGATTTAATTTCATTGACATAATAGTGAAAAAATTATGAACAAGAATATATCAAATGCAAAAATATATTATTATAACTTAAAAATATAATTATTCAACTCAAACATTGGCAATTTCCTTGCTCTTAATTTACACACCTCCTTCAAATTAGCACATTCTTTTAATGTAGTCAACTTTTCTAGATTAAATTGTGAAACTTGTTCATAGCCAACTTTTATAGCAGTTTTGGTGTTGGGAGCAAGGGGGCTAAGTTATGGCTTGGGGAGCTTAGTGTGTTTCTGAAGGTCGGTTATGGGTATTTATAGTCATAGAATGTCAGGGGAGGTGTTTGGCTATGCATGAGGATCCCTGACGGCTTCTCAGAGCATGTGAAGCGGATTTGCATAAGCTTTTGGCAAGGAAAACCAATGCTTTCTCAACTCTCCATGTATTGGGCATGGTGGTTTCAATGAGGTTGAAGGTGGCATAGAGGATTGCTTAGGTTGATTAGGGAAACCTTTTGGTCATTGAATAATACCATGTTTGGTTTGGTTTGACCCACCAAAGGTTAGTTCAAGAGGCCATGACCTAGATGTCATGTGTAGGATGGCTTGGCCAGGTATGTCAATTTTGTGCTTAAGTGCTTGGAATTTGTCTCAAGTAATATATTTTAAATCTATTGGCACCCGCCATGATGGGTCACATTTGTATCACGGGTCACCCATGGAGGATGGGACTTGGGGGAGATGGCCATGGGCTTTAGATTTTTGAATTTAGAGCTATCCTAAATGTGCTTGGGCTTAGCCCAAAGGTTTAAGCCTAATGGGTTTTTCATAATTCACCTAATTAAATAATTAGGTGAATTATGGGGGTTGACCTCATGGTGCCAATTTGACCCTTACATGGTTTGATGTCTTAACCTCTTTAAGTGGGTCTCAATTTTGTGGAAATGGGGTAAATTGTTCAAGAATTAATCAAAATTTGGTTGGATCCAATTTGGTTTGGTCTCCCATAGTGATTTCGAGTTTTTGGGTCAAATGGCGTGTTGGAATTTCAAGTTAATTTTAGGGTTAATTGGAGTTGGGGAGGGGGTTGAGGGTTTGGGATTGTCTTAAGGAGGCCTAAGAGGAGTGCGCTCAACAGTGCCCAAAAGGAATAATGGAAAACTGCATTTTAAAAATAATATTATCATAATATTAATTATTATTTTAATAAACATTTTCTAAAATTTTAGTACTTATGCTACTCATCGTTAAATGAGGTGTCTATCTTTATTTTGTAATGTTCTGCACTGTATATTTACTTTTAAAGTATATAATGCACTAATCTAAATTATTCTATTGCAAACAACATTATTATACATAGGCAGAATGATCATGTGTACAAAAACGACTGCAGCACAGCTGTTTTCAAATTACAAAAAACAAACAGAAAGTTAACTTATCAGCAGCTGTTGCACAACAACTTATTATTAAGTTGTAGCTGCCCCAAATTGACCCTTATTCACTGTGATTGAGGAGTACTTAATAGCGAATTTAAAAATATTTTCAAATATATTTTATGTATTTTTTTAATTTTTATTCATTTATTAATGGTATTGTATGTTGTTGTTATGTGTCTCTTTGAGTCATTGGGAATAACTAATGATCTCATGACACAGGCGATCTTGACTTAGACATTAAGCACATTTTAAGCAATAGTTAATGGGAAATTTATTTGAAGCATGAATAATAATTATTTTTTTATTGTCGTAAAGGCAATTTTTTACAAATTAAAATTTGTAAAGGATAATTTACATATGATCACCCAATTACAAAGTATTTGCATATTGAGCACCCAAACTTCACTTTTTTTTTATTTATCATCAAATATTTCACATCACATAAAAAAATATTACTATTTTATTTTTTAAAAAACTAACTAAATTTTTTAGCATGCATAAAATGTATAACAAATATGTGAAAATTGAAGTTTACGAGTCAAGAGTTATAGATGCATAAAAAGTGAATATATGTATATAAAAAATTTAATTTTAAATTGTTATTACAAAGTTTGATTGTTTTAATCACTTGTTCACCCAGAGCCATTAATTTTGTCGGTAGAGTTTCATTTTGAGTTTGTCGAGGGGGTACAAGGGAGTGCCCCCCTATATTGGGTTAGAGTCACCTCCTCAGTATTCTTTTCTGTACTTATAGTATCGGAGCCGAGAAGATAGTGTCTTAGTACCCGATACAAGTTAACAGTAAAACATTCAGAAGTGTGCGTCTCAACGCCCATTAGAGCGTAGCAGTGCCATTTTTGTGATACCCCGACCCTAGTAACCGAATTTGAGTAGTTTGAGTAGTTCTCCACTTAAAGTTTCTTTTCTCAGTTGGAAGTGTGTGCATTTTAATTTTATATTGTGTAAGGGAGAGGAGAGGAGAGTTGTAGAGTTTTCTAAATGCGGAAAGGATTGTGTGTGATGTAATTTGTGCAACTCTCCTTTATTGAATCCTGATATGTCTCTACATCACACCCAAAGAATAGAGCATAAGTAATGAGAGAGAAAAAAGATAGAGAGATGGTGAGAGAGAAAACAATAATCTAACAAAATCAATTGCGACTAATTCATAAAAATATTCCCTTATTTATATAGTAGATGGTGCATAATGATGACATTACATTTTTTCCCTTTGATTTAAAGGGGTCCATAATATGATATTTACGAATTTTACATGTGTAAACCTGACATTTGGCTCCTTTCTTGCTTGTCAGCTAAGCTTAATCAGCATTCGGTCAGTAGGATATGCTTGGTCGGCAAAATTTAGTTGAAATAGATCGACTGGTAGATAAGTCTTAATTGTTGACCCAATCCATGATGAGGAACCACTGCAACATCCCTTTGATGGTACGAGTACTGTGAAATCGGATATTCCCTTAGATTGGTTCCTCAAGAGGGTTGGCTATTATATATGATTGACTTTCTTGTAACGATGACTCAGATGTTCTTTCGTCTCTTATCTGGCCAATTGGTTCGGGCTTGGTTCATCTGCACTTTTTTTTGTTCCTTGTGGCTCAATCAACTTCGATTTTGCTGACTTGACTTGGACATCTTCACTCGACCAACAAAATAGGCTTCATGATCTAGCAACGAGCCACCCTTCATTGTACTTTCGCCTTATGGACCATTAGATCTCCATAGGATTATGGACCATTAGATCTCCATAGGATCAGTGCTGGCATATTTTTATATACATATTTTAGTTTTTTTGTTTTTATTACTATTTAAAAGCAATGCTGCGCTTAGACTAGAAAAACTAAATACAAAAGTAGATTTTTTTATGTTTTAATTAATGGCGTAATAATTAAACTCCCATGATTTTTTCAACTTCGATTCTTATAAAAAATATGTGGCGGGACTCCTTTCTATTCCTTTATTGCTTTGTGACTCCCTCATTTGAATTGGTCGGCTTCCGGGTGTTGGGATGAAGAATATCAAATCCCTCAAGTGATATCCTTGATAAAGATTTGATATGTGTTGCCTTTGGGAAGCTGGTAGGTTGTAACCACCCAGAAGGTGAATGAACGAAGAAAGTCTTTATTAAGAAGAGAAAAACAATGGCACTCTCATTATCGGATCATGTTGGATCATCTGATTCATTCCTCGGTAATAAGTAGAGGAATGTTCAACCGATCAACTCGATTGTTGATCCGATCACCCAACCTTCTGCGATGGTTCAAGTGTCATAATCACACAGGGCGCACAAGAGGTTGTTGTTGCTCTCCCATCTCACGATGAGGGTGATGTATCAATTACAACGTCTGAGTTGGATCGACTCCTGGATATGATAATCCTAGATCTTAATTATTGGATTT